TTTTCTCAGGCAGGAACATAGAGTGACCCACTATTTTTTCTGGAACCAATTATTCCCCTGGTTGACACTGTGTAGGTATAAGTAAAAATTCTTTTCAAAATAAAGAATTAAAAACCAGCCAACCTAAAAGTGCATCATCCTCAAAAATGTAACTGTAGAGAGACAGACAATTTGGTGTCTGTTGGATATCCAATTCCTTCCAAAAGGGGGAAAAAACTACATGCTTCTCTTAATGCAAAACACACACTGGTCTTTAGATATGGGAATACACCAGAGAATAATTTCCACTCAGAGCAATGAATGAGAGCATAATATAGAGTATCTTTGAACAAATACTGCAGCGGCCTCTTACACACAGGGTTTCCAGGAAGGGAAAACATCTGTAGAATATTAACTGACCCAAGAAATGTTTAACGGGCATTTGTCAGAAATTTTATGCCAGAAACACATTCAGAATTTAATTGGTAGAATTGCGTCAGAATTCCCGTGGGTGCCTATATGTACATGTAGGTATAAACACATGTACACACATGCACGTACCACACTTTGCTAAAATCCACACTCTGTTCTGACATGAGCTGCTGCTCTTTTCCTCCTCTTTCCAGTGCCATCTCCCCTCACCAGCTATTCTGCACTCCTGCTGGTGACTTGAAAACTTCTGTTAGCAAACTGGGAGGTGAGAAAGGCACCAGGGCTGGACCAATACAAGCAACTTGCCGTTGTTTCAACTGAAGTGGGTATTAAGGTATCACTTCCAGCCCAAATGCATAATAAAATTATTTGCCAAATAAAACTAAAGGCCCTGCACCTCTACTTACTTGCCTGGGTTTAGCTTTGCATGCACAAACATCTCTCTTAACTTCAGAAGAATACACAAATACAGAGCTATGCAAATAGGTGAGAGCTAAAGCCAGGGCCAAAGTTAGCATGCTGGCCATATTCTCACTGCTTTTGGTTTTAAGAGCCATAATAGGTATGTCTTAAAGGTCCTCCCTTTAAATGAACTCAAAATGGAAAGAAACAGGGAACAAAAGCAGTATTACTAGAAAAAGAAACTTTCTGAAGGTAAAGTCTGTTCTTCTATACAAGATTCAGCATACATCAAAGAAATAATCAAGAGCTGCTAAGGCTGTAGTGGGATGAATACTACAAGCTAGCATGATTAAATGAAGGAGAAAAACAACCCCAAGAAATGCCTTCTTCATTCTGCCTTAGCTGTGTTTATTCCTCATTTTCATACCATTCCCTCCCTTGTGCCAGCTGTTTATGCAGCTTCAGAGTGAACTGGATCACTGGAAATGAACTTTTCTTTTTGGCAGTGTCTTAGGAATTGATCTGGGTTAGACTGCTTCTTGGTAGTAGAAGTAGCTTATAAAGTTTGGTAAACATCTCAGAACCTCTTGAATTAAAAGGCCTACCAAAAAAAATATGGATATCAGTGCCATTACAGACTGATTTTTCTCCTAACAGCAAGGTCTCGTCCTCTTCATACACAGCCTCTGTCCCTGAGCCCTCAACACCATTACTCCTCCGGATTTGTTTGCAAAGTGTTGATGAGAAGTCCCATGCTATCAAGTCTGCACGGTTTATATAGAAATATTCCTCACTGCATTTACTTGAGAACCATTAGGGAGAGCAAAGGTCTAATGAAAGATGGTCATGCCAGCAACCAATCACCTTCTCCTGAAAAATGTCTTAACAGACAAGCAAATTGACCTGTGAGTTAGCTTCCTTACAAAGCAAAATACAATTCCAATAAAATTCAGTAGAATGACTCCTATATTTGCTTTTAGAGGACTCCTGGTCATCCTACAACCCTTCCACATTAAAGAGATGAGCATATTCCTCAAAGGGTCTATAATGGAGGTCATCTAGGCTACTAAGCAGAAGTTTTCCTCCCTTTTCTTCACTGAAGCACAACACACTAATGAATTATATCACTGTGGTACGGGTTTAATGGTATCTTCTGCTACCTTAATGGAGGATCAGAGGTGCTATTTTTAACACAATGTGTCAGACCATTACAATTTCTTCCATCATTCTGAATACAGCATAAGGTTAAACAAATTATGATAATGTATTGCTACATGCTTAACACAACACTTCCCTGAAAGCTATGAAGGGCAGAGATGGTCTATTGAGAGATAATCATAGTGAAACAAACAAAATATCACACTTTTCATAAAAGCCAACATCAAATTCCTCATGATTACAGAAGTAATTTTGAAAGAAAAACCAACAAGAAGAGAGAATTGGATGTAATTTTAACTATCAAGTTAACAGAACCTTGAAACATTTTATATGCTGAAGTAGGAAAAAAGTGAGATGAGGATTTGCACTGTCAGATTAATGTGACATTGGAAGACTATTCCAAATCTAATCCATAGTGGCAATACCATTAGACTGGCTATCACATACCACATCCTCTACATACTTAGATTATTAACACCCAAGACAGAGATAACAGTGGCATCGCTATTTTACTGAAGTCTTTAAAAAAATTCAGTTTTATTAAATTTTTTAATAATTTGTATTTATAGTACAGCCAGAAAGATAGATAACTGCTATCTATAGAAGCATACTATAACATGTTAGTTAGTAAAAAAAAAAAAATCAAGAAAGATTCTTCAATCACTGTTCTATTCTACTAATTCCTGTCATAAGGAATTAGATTTTGGATTAGAGATAGGCACCCATCTGAGTGGAGCCCATGTAAAACTCCATAGTCCAACTCATGGAAGTGACAATGGTGATGATAGAAAACAGGCAGCTCTCCTGCCACTACTGTACATATCATTAAAGGTGTGCACAGCACAGTGTGAACTGCTGATGTGAACAGGAAAGGACCTTGCCTTCTGCCTGTAAATCCATCCTTTGATGGAAACAAGAAAGACGGACACTACTTACAAGAACATGTATTGAGTAGGACAAGGGGAAATGTCTTAACACTGAAAGAGAGTAGGTTTAGATTAGGTGTTCAGAATAAATTCTTCCCTGCGAGGGCAGTCAGGCACTGGAACATGCTGTCCAGAGAACTGGTGGATGCTACATCCCTGGAGTGTTCAAGGTCAGGTTGGATGGGGCTCTGAGCAACCTGATCTAGTGAAAGGTGTCCCTGCCCATGGCAAGGGGAGTTGGAAGTAGATGATCTTTCAGGTCCCTTTCAATCAAACCATTCTACGGTTCTATGATTCTATGAAATATGTAAAATGAGGGTCTCTGGCACAGTGGTGGTGGGCCAAAGGGGTGGGGTTGAAAATCCTGATGATGAGCAATACTACCATTCTGGTTTAATTTTGGGTGGGTGGAATGGCTAAAGGAGTATCCTGAGATCATCTCAGGGACTAAAAGTCCTAAGAGGCATTGTTGCTGCTCCTAATTCACCATGGGCAACACAACTGACAGAAGCATGTGAGACTGGGTTGGTGGACAGATATTGCCTTGATGGGCTGTACAGCCATGTCGGTCTCATTGTGGATGGGTGGAGTAGCCAGCCTCTGCCTCCATGTTGCTGTGAATTCCTGCAGGCTCATTTATTCAGTCTTTGTTCTCTAATGACTAGATGGTTTATTCAAGGTAAACCTTTTCCTTAGTACATAGACCAGACTCTTCTTTCTGTGGCCCAAACTGTTTCTTAAGACTGTAAATAATTCCCTTCCTTCACAAATATTGACTTGTAACTTGTATAGATTGTGCTCATGTTCCCCAGTGACCATTTTCTTCTAGACCCTGAAGGGCATACAACCACATCAAACTTCCTAGGAGTGGAAAATGCTACCAAACAGATTATTCTGGGAAATGGAAGAAAAATAATCTCAAAATTCTGGACATAGTTATGAGCTTGGTAACTGCACAGGCTGCTCTGCTCCCAAATGTTCAGTAAAGAAAATGCTGAGAGTATTAAAGCCCACACATGAGACAGAAGTTCCCTGCAAACGTTAACTCTTTAAGATATATAGCAGTGATTATGAGGCAGTTACTTTGAAGTAATCAGAGTAAAAGATTCAGATAAAAATGATACAAGTAGATAGGTTCTTAAGCCTACAGAAAGCTCTGTTTTCTTTCTGGACAGTCAGGATATCCCACAGATTATTCTTCAAATGAATCTAGATATCGTTGGTACTCACAACATTAAAATTATAATGTTAAATGGCAATGACTAGTTTTTGTTATTACCAGTTTCTCTCATAATTTCTTTCAATCTCTCAGTTTTCTGTGAAGGTGCTCTGAATCTCCCACATGCTCCCAATCTCCCACATCCCTGGGACCCTTCTCACACAGAATCCATGCTTTGACTCCACAAAAACTTTTTCTCTTTTATTTTCTTAAACCACTAAACACTATTGGGACTAAGTATTTTTCTCTCAAGTACACTTTCAACACTTCTTTCTATAGCTATTCTTTCCTGTTACATGGGAATTACATGCAGAGTTCTATATCTTATTCTCTGCCTCCCAGTAAAGCAATTTGTTTGGTCATTCCTGAACTTTTCCTGTTTCACATTAGAATGAGCCCAAAACTTTCAAATGCTTAATGAACAATAAAAAAAAAAGACAAAACCCCTCCCCCTTTCTTAAAGGCACACACGTGTGCATCTTATTCAAGTTCAGAAAAATAAAAACCAAAACAAGACAGATATGCTGGCAACTTGAGACACACAGACCCATGCTCTACATTCTCCTGCACCTCACAGGAATGTAGTGATGGTGATTGTAATTTCTGGTCTTTAATCTCTCACTAGCTCTGAGCACAAATTGCCCTGTGGTCCTAACCTTTCCCACCCAATCTTTCCCAGATGGAAATTAAGTGGTGTTTCCCACAGGATATTCTACTTTGTGTGAACTGATGTTTGTAGGACAGGCAGACAAAAGACAGGCTGAAAGATTCCCAAATTCCATTCAGCTACACATCCGCCCTGTCCAAATCTACATATTTTCTTTGTTTTTAGGATGCTTAAACTGCGGGTTTGGGGAAGGATATCTGCTAACGACCTAACTCACGTTTTCGTGCTTCATGTGTTTCAAGAGACGCAGTTCTCGGTAAGCTCGCTTGGCAAAGAGTTCAGACTGAAACGGGCGGTACAATTTCTTAATGGCCACTTTGGTACCACTTCTGCCATCGACGGCTGAGCTTTAAGGGAGAAGAAAAGAGTTTTGTGAGCGAGGACCGAAGCAAGCCTGCAAACCCGGCCGGCACTGGGGAGAGGCTTCATTCTGCCCCATGCTGCTTGGCCCTTGGCTCGGAACCCCCCGTGCCATGGGGGGAGATCACCTCCCCAAAGCACCTCGTCAGCAGCCGTCTCGCTTCATTCGTTTAAAAGGCTGTCAGACCCTATGATGAAACTTAGAAGTTTTCAAAAGCTTTAAAGAGGAACATCTGGGGAGGGGGAAAAAAAAAAGGTAAAAAAAAGACAAAAAATCCCACAAACCCCCAAACCAACCACCAACACTGACCCACACCAGGCGTCCCGCCCCAAGGGCTACAACACCCCAGGCTTCGGGGTCGCTGCCGCTCCGGGGTGCCGCGGGCCAGGGTCAGCAGCCGCGGACAAAGCGCTACCCGGCAGGGCTGTCGCAGGGCGGGGCAGCGCCCGGGCTCTGCTCGCTCCGGGGACGAGACAGAACGCGGGGGTCGGAGCCCAGAGCCGCCGTCGTTTTCCCGACGGGCGCGCTCCCCGGGGAGAGCCCGGCCCGGGCGGCCAGGGTGAGCGGCGGGGGCGGCGCAACAACCGGGGAAAGTTGTTCAGGGAAGCACAGCGCCAAGGCAGGGCACGGCCGGCGGGCCGGGCCGCGTGCCGGCCCGGGCCGGGCAGAGGCCAACCGCCCCCGCGCTGTCCAGGGGCTGCCCCCGCGCCCCGCTCACCAGACGGCTCGTAGGCGCCCGCCCACCGCTGCGTAACCGGTAGCGGTCCGCACTTCCCAGAGGGTCTTAGTGATCTCCTGCCGGTAGAAGCCGTTCTTGGGGGAGGACATGGCGCTGCGGGCCCCCACCGGCACCCGCCGACAAAGAGCCCGGGCGGGGGGAGCGGGAGCGGCCAGCGCCGCCGAGATCGGGCTGCGGAGAGGGGCTGGGCATTGGGCGAGCAGCACCGCCCGCCCGCGCACAGCCTCGATCACTACCGCCGCACGGGACCGGCTGTGCCCTTCTCCTCCGCCAGGCCATTGGGGCTGTGCTCTGCGAGGTTGAGAGCGGGCGGCGCGGTGTCCCGGCGGCGGCCGAGGTTGCCCGGGCAGGGAGGCAGGTGTGAGGCTCTCGCTAGCTGCACGAGTACTCGAAGTAGGGAGCAAACCCATCCCGGCCGTCTCTTCCCCCCCTTTCACCCGGTGCCCGTTTTACGCTTATGCTCAGGATCTGGTGAGGTGCTACTGGCTGGTGCATCAAAGTGTTAAGGAGTACGAGAGGCTGCAGCTGGTAGACCTGGGAGTACAAAAGCAAGCTTTTGTATGGCCTCTGCACTGGGGCGAACAGCTGGGGGCTCCCCAGATCATCCCGGAGTCAGACCCCAAATTACAACAGTGTTTCATAGAGTTAAATAGAAACAAGCAGACACTTGGTTCAGCAGCTCAGAGCAAGTGGTCCCACGTGTGGCTGGAGTGATATGGAACTGCTCAAGCAGTGGCTTGAAACAAATGCAGTGCTGGAGTGTGGACAGCAGCGACCTTCTCAGTAGCTCAGTAGTAAATGGGCCTCGGCTGGCATCACGTGTAAGGCAAAGACTTGGTTTAAAATGTGTTTTGTGTGTTCTCTGCATGAATGTAATTAAAACTCTTGTCCTTCAACGTCTGATAAAGCCTTTGTTTTGTCTGACTTCACCCCTGAGCAACGTTGCTGAGGTTAGATAGTTCTGACTTGCTGTAGATAGAGTTCAGTTTGTGGTGTAGCTATAAAGGGACAATCTGGCCAAGTTTCGTGGTTCCCTATGCTTTTTTTGGTAGATGCCATGGGCCCAGCCCTTCTTGTACCTGACTACTGAATGTGGAAGAGCCGCCCTGCCCTCTCTCCTCCCAGGATAGAGGAGGAACACATCCTTCCAGCCAAGAGCCTTGTGTTCCAGCGCTGCTCTCTGCTGACCATAGACCTGTTTGACTCCCTGGTTTAGTGAGAATGGAGAGCAACCTTCTGACATTTGGCAGTTAACATAAAGCTTGTGTGTAACAAGTGTTAGATGAATGGTTGATGTTTACTTTTAAAAATCTGCTGCCCCAGATTTTCTGACATCCCTTTAATGCTATGTTTACCATTCAGATGATGGCTGGAGTGAAATGTGGTATAGGTAAGGTGAAGGACAGAGCAGCTTCCACTCAGTTTTGAGCCAGTCCACTAGTTAAATTACTTTTAATGACAAATATATGTATTTCTAATACAGTGAGGATTAGTTCTGCTTTTGATCCCTTGCCTACTTTTCTTTACTCAGCTGTGGCAAAGTGATACTTTCTTACCACTTGTTTTTTATCAGGGCAGAAAGATTTTGATACAGTAGATGAAAGTACTAAGGGAGCACCAAGACAAGATCATTCTTGTGCAGAAGTTAAGAATATTGCAGAGCAAATTTTGTAAGATATTTTAAATTCATTGATGAAATTAGCCAATGCCAGTTTTCCCATGTTTTTACTTAACATAACTATTTAGGTATACATAGCTAGAGATAGATGAGGTAGCAGCGTACATCAAACACAAGACCACCTTCTCCCATTGCATCACACATACAGGAGATGAACTGATAAGCTTACTGAAAAGATTAGGAAATCATCACTCTTATAACAAGGGAAGCTTTGTCTAATGAACTGTTCAAAGTGCCTATGAATAGATTGAGACGAGAAACTTGGATCCATCTGCAGCTGCTAGATCCTACAGCAGTGTCACAAACCACATGAGCCTCTGCATCCTGCTAGGCTCAGCTGGATACATGGAGATATGGAGATGTGTTTCCCCAAAGACAGTCTTTTGCAAGGAGACCAATAAGATACTGTGGCCATATCTTCTCCTGAGCAACATGTGCTTGAAAGGATAAATTAAGAAAGGAATGCCATCAGATGTTTCTGCTTTTGGCATATGTTTATTGTAAAGTTAGTAGAAAAAAAACGGTCCTTCTTCAGACATCATAAATAAAAGATAAAAAATGCATTAATGGTGCAAAAATCCCACTTTTCCAATGCTCATTCCATAAAGGGAAGCCTTGAGAGGTATCAGAACATGGTTTGTTTTTTTTTTTAAGAGCCACTTTTGAAGTGCTGGAAGGTTGCCATCAGCTGCAAAGCATATGAGGTAGATGGGATGTGTACAGTACTCTTTCTAATTCCTCTGGGAACTGAGAGCTGAATTTACACTCCAGCCTGGAGGTGAGGCTTTGGTACTGGAGCAGGAACTCTACAAGAAAGAAGTGAGAAAGCTAACCATGTTTTCCTGAGAAATCCTGCATGTATGAACTCTTTTGAGAGAGTTTGATGGCAATGCTGCTCACCACAAATTGTTAATCAGAGATGATAAAATGGCACAGCTTTGTTTGTCACTGCTGGGGAGCTGCTGGGTCTCGGGTGAAGAAGTGTATCTGTATAAGCAGAGAGAGGGACTGGGACCTGTTCTGTGGTCTAGGCACTAATAACATGGGGGGAAACCAGATCATGCAAAGTCCTTTGAAAAATCGAGCATCTTCCCACATTTCTGTCTGTTTATGTCTGTGTCTTCCACATGATCATTTTATTCTCAATACATTAATTCATATATGAATAATTTAGTTGTGTAAAACACACCTTAAATGTCAATAAACATAAAATATTGCTGAATTGTTAAAATATGATTTCTAGAATATTATTGTTTTTAACAAGTTTTCTATATCCCCACCTTCAAAAAATACTCTGTGCTTGTCTACTTAAACATGTTGCCATAGAGGAAGTAAGTTAATTTTATTTATTTCAACAAGAACCAAAGATTAAACAAAAAAAAAAAATCTTAGTTTTAATCTGAAAATACTCCCATGTTATTGTGTTCCCACCCTCCCCCACTGGAGTAACTGTCTACTATTTTGCAACTTTTCTGGTTTTGTCTCTCTGCTCCATGAGCAGGGTGCTTCAGTTCCAGTTTCTGTGTCATGGGGCCCTCCTGGGGACCTTACCATGCTGCAAGTGCACTCAGCCATCAGCAGAAGGGAATAAATATGCACCGCCTAAGTGCTTTATTACTAAAAAAATATTTTAAAAGCTATATGTTTCATTTGCTCAAGAGTTCAAGTTAGAACTTACTAAGTAACTATTTACTAGCCCATTATCCCTGCTTGCTGCAGGGTGGTGAAGGAAGAGAGGTCAGATGTAGAGGGTAGCAGACAGCTACGTGTAAATCAACTGCTTTTAACACTCTCCTAACTTTTTCTCCTCAGAGTCCACCAAAAGGTCATCTCCTACAATATAAGTTTAGTTTTTAAACTATCACAGATTGTTGCAGTAGGAGTTACTATAGTGCACAGAGCAAAAAAATACACTTGAAGAGTTACCCAACTTCAATGCAAAAGTCGTACAAAAGGAGCATTAACAGATATTGCTGATAGCTGTACTCATTTGTCATTGCATAGTTGTTCACATCACCTGTTTAAATTACCAAAAACTTAGTGGTATTCTTACCCCATCTCACACAGCCTTCTCAATACTGCCTTAAGTTTTTGTGTTTCCATCTCAATGAGAGAGCCGGACAGGACAGGAATACTGTGTGTTATTTTTGCACAGAATGTAACAAAACAACGGCTTCTTGATTTGCACCTTCAGGCTCTAATATAAAATAGGAATATATTATTTGAGTGCTAATCTACAGGATATTATTCTGTAAGGAGCAAAGTATTGCTCAGTGGAGGCTGCAAGTTATGGTATATTTAATGTATAGTTGTCTCAGGGCTGCCACTGTGATTCAGTATTTCTGTTGTGTTCAATATTACTTGCGATCAAATTGGAACCTAAAAGGACTAGATAAAACCTCTATGCTATGGTACACGTCTTAATTTGTGACAATAATTGGAGCTGGGGGACTATGTGAGCTCAAAATGAAGCATTTGTATGCATGCAAGATTGAAGCCTAATTGAAGAGTTTCGCTCGCTATGTGGAAATTTCACATCTAATGGATTAAGTGTCAGATTGGTTGGAAGATCAGCGTTCACATAGAAAACTCACAATATATTCCCTCCTTGCAGCGAAAACTTAGACCCTTTTAGGCATATCAGTTCAATATTTTATCTTATAGCAGAAAGAAGGGCAATGGCAGTGACACTAATGCAGCTTTCTAAGTCTCTTGGTACTAGTCCCTTAAAACCCCTTTACCCAGACTCATAAATTAATGACACTTGGTACTCTCACTTGTGCAAGTGTGCTGATTTTCTAAGAACCAGTCTCTACATCCATAAACAGCACTAGCAGCAATGTAAGAGAAACAAGCAGCTGCTTTTAAAGTAAACAAAGATGTTGGTATTAATTTCTTCCTAAGGAGATTGAAGCTGAATCCCTTTCTGCTGCTACCAAAGGACATAATTTACCCAATTTACAGTGTAATTCTCTTTTCATGAGAGCTAAATCCTGACCACTGCTTGTTGGTCTGGGATTCTTGGGCCAAGCCAGCAATTTACAGATGTAGCAAAGGTTACGTAAGTAATTTGTGCCGGCAGCTCAATACGGTACTTCTTGAACAGATTCATCTTTGACCAGGGGAAAGAGACTGAGGAAAGTAGAGGTCTGTTTTCTTGTTATGATCCAGGAGCACACATGACAGGAAGAAAGGAAGGAAGTGGCTTTTGTATTGACAGCTCCCCACCTTTGTCAAAGGTGCTTTTGCTGCCAACATTTTGTCCTTGAAAGGGCTGTCCCCCTCCTGACCCTAGAGTGAGCTTGCTGTGTCAGATCCTGCAGCATACTGACCCTCCTTCCCTCTTGCTTTCATCTTTTATACCATATCAAAACCACACCAAGAGCACTACTTGGAACTCTGCAGCAATGCTGTCTAAATGATGACTCTTGACCTACTGACACGTGATATTTTTTTTTTCCATGTATCAGTGTTGATTACCTAATTTCCCATTATTTTTCCCTCATAAATTCTGAAAGTTATTAGTAACCCCGCTGTTTCATACTCATGTAGCCATTTTGTGTCTTCAGTGTACGGCACATGATATCCTCTAACACTGTGCTCTCCCTCTAAACCATCCTTGTTTTTTCTTTCCATTAGTCCATTTGAAAATTCGAAATTTTGTTATTCTTGTCTGCTTTGGCTGTGGCATATCAATTTCCTGCTCCTGGCCTTCAGTGCTTGTGAGGTAGAGAGCTTAAAAAATAAAGATGCAGATTTTAAAACTGTAATGTATATTTTTACACATGTCAAAAGATTGAGATGCATGAAGAAGATTTTCCTTTTGCAAGACCTTTTATTGTCAGTGATGATAAAATTACTAGACTGGCGGTTGCACTTAACACTGATTATGGAGTGAGATAATAAATACTACAAGTGATTTCAATTCAGTAGGTGGAGGGATAACAAGCTCTTGTGACTGAAAGCTGAAATTAGGTAAATTCAGATTAAAAGTAAATTGCTAACAATGTCAATAATTAGCCAGAGAAAGCCCTTGGAGAGCTGTGTTCTCCTCAGTGGAATCCTAAGCCGCCTCCTCTCCATCCATGCTCCTCCGAGCTTCCCTTCTGTGCTTTGCAGGTGGTCAGGGATGATGAGCACCCTAATTTAGCATGGCCTGAAACCTATGCTGCTCTCCTCAAATGTACACACAATGTATAGAGGACCTTCAAAAGCACAATTGTACTAATGAGACTAAGAGTGCTGTCGGGAGATTAAAACCCCACTGTTTAAGCAGGCTCCACTACAAGTTTTGAAAACAACATTTGGGCCATGTAATCAATGCCTTCATTAAAGACATTTTTAGCAAATAAATTTTTATGAAATAAAATCCTTACTTCTATATTTATTTACTCTTGAAAATTTACTTTTAAGCCATCTGCCCTACAGGTTCACCAAGCCTGACAAAGCCCTCACTCCTCGATGTTTACCTCCATTTGCCTGTTTGCATTGGCTGACAAATGGTTTTTTCCATCTGTTTTCAAATGATAAGCATTGTTAGTGCTAAGCCTTCCACCTTTCTGTCCCAGTGGGGTAGTGGCTTTCCAATTACCCTCTCCTGCTGTTGTAAACTGATAAAGTTACCACACAGCAGTCCCATGTTGGATTGCCATGAGGGAGCTGGTTACCTGCCCTAGAAAAATACTTTAATTAGTGGCTTTTGAGGTCTAAGTAATTGCCTTCATTTTGCACATCTAGGAAAAAGATGTCTGTCTCCCTACTGTTTTTCTTGACATTAAAATGAGATGATTTATTGGTTTTGATGGTAATTCATTAAAAATAACTGAGCTATTGTTGTCCATTACTGTCACCTTTGATTAGTTTAAATGTGGGTATGACCATATTCTTCCTACATAATTTATCTCCTACAAAAAAATTGCATCTCTGAATGTCAAAGGAAATATTCAGACAAAGATTCAGGATTGGCAGAAGAATAAATTTTGTAAGGAATATAAAACTTTCTTTCTACCTCAAGTAGCAGAGGTATGGCCAACAGAGTTTTATACACCCTTTGAAACACATTTGCCAATGGCTACCCTCACAGCAAGGAAATCAGATTAAAGAAATGACGGGACAAATCCCACACTAAATTAATTATTGTTGGGTGCATAAAGTTCTTGTGAAATTTCTTTACTTCATCCTTGCCCTTCCAGCTGGTATGGAGCTGCAAAACAGGCTCATAGTCTCGATATCAGATTTCAGAGAAAATAAAGCACTGAGCTACTTTTAACTGGCAAACAAACAAATAAAAAAAATCTAATACATGACTGATTATTTTCATTATGTAGACAGACAAACGATTTAAGGATTTACAGCCTTTCCAACTATTTTAGTCAGCATGAAATTCAGTCATTGCATGATCATTACAGGCCTCATCCAGCTTCACAGGAAGCCAAAGAAATGATGGCCAGACAGCACTTCAGAGGATTCACAAGAAATCCATGCAGGCATTTACTTTCAGATTAATACGCCTTGCAGAAAGTTGAATACAAGTGGCTGTATTCCACTGGATACAAGTATTGGACAACTGGGCAACATTATCAAAGCAGACCATCACTTAGTCCACAAATGAGAAAATTCCGTTTTCTAGACAGATGCCTATTTCTATTTCTGAAAAATCAAAGTTCTTAGACTTTTTATTTTTTAATTTTTTTTATTAAGAAAAGGCTTTTCTTTTTACATAGAAAAGATACAGAGGAAGGTAAGTTAATGCAGTAGAATTCATTACCTCATGTAAGAGCTATACAATTGAATATTAATGACAAAAGTTTCAGAAAACCTAAATATTATAAAAAGCCACCTCCAAAATAAGACTCTGACAGAGCAAGAGTGAAACACAAAAATGAACAACACTGAACAACTGTGGACCACAAGTGTGTAGAAAGACACAGCCAGTACAGCACAAGAGGCCTTGCGACAAAAGGATGTTCCTGCTACAGTATTATGCCTTCAACAGAAAAATTAGGTAAGTTTAATTCTTTAAGAAATCTTGGTATCTGGTGTATCCTGCAATTTATTATTTAATTTTCCAACTTTTCAGAGCTGGAAAGCCTTTTAATTTTTGCTTAAAAAGAAACTCCAATGAGAGCGTGTCAAATTCTTAAATTTCCTTGTTTTGTCATGTCTTCCAATGGCAATTTTTTCCCAAGGATTATGTGAAGAAAAATAAGACCATGCGAAATATTTAATTCAAAGCTGTGAACTGAACTGAGTACTCTTGCACTGCCATCTGTGACAGCCTTTACTGAAGCTTGCTCAAGTCTACAGAGCTCTGTCACAATACCTTCAAGGTACCTTCCTGTAAACTCAGGCAAATTCACCAGCACTCTGGTGATGGCAACGTTAGAAATACCATCAGGAAGTAAAATCATCTCAGAAATGGGTATTGTGTAGATTGGAAAAGTATATGGGGAAAATAATGAAAACAGACACTTGGATGGCAAGAGAAGACAAAGATTTATTTTTACTGACTTTCAACTGGTGTTAAGATTGCTTGAGAGACATCCAGTAAATGTGTAAGACCACCACAGATGTGACTACATAGGCATATTCTGTCTATCTTGCTACCACGCCCTCTCATTATAAAGGCACTAACTATGAATAGTATGAAAACAAACAGATAAAATGCCGGAACAAAAAAGGATTGCTTGTATGGACCTCTATGTTTATGTTTGTATACATTCATGCTTTAAATGTACAATTTTAAAATTAATTTATGAGATCACCTTTATTTTGGCAGTACAACTGATAAAATGAAACATGCAGACCACACAGCTTGACAAAACTCAGTGCATAATTTTGTCAGAATGAAGCAGTTCTTTACCACCCCTTGTGAGCTGGGAATACATTCATATTACAAGGCAAAAAAACTCCCACCAAAACAGATAACATCTGGCTTCTGTTTAATTCATCTTCTTTTCCACATCTTCTCCAACATCTTTGGATAGTAAAATCTACATCTGACCACAGGCTAAATTGGATGGTTATATTTTAACAGTCTTCATAGTGCAGCAAGGCAAGACAGAGCTGCCTGTGTTCACTGTTCTATCTCCAGGCTGTCCATTTTCAAGTCGGGTGGTTTAAAGCTAATCACTTCTTCATAGGTAAGTTCTGTAAAGGTGGGGGGTAAGGGAGACAGAAGAATTAGGTGAAATTCTCTTAAAAAACAAAAATTCCAGATAAAACAGTTCTATAGACTCATGTGACTTGCAGTTTGTATTTCCAGCCTTTTTAAGAGTCCAGATCCAAAAATAGACTGAATTCACTAGGAATCCTTCTCTTAACCTCAGATTGCAAATTAGACTCACAAATACTGTTATTGTACAACATGACTGTCCCCTTCAACTAATTACTAAAACACACAGGCCCTGAAATGGAAACATCAATTATGCTGTCAGATGACCTGCCAAAATGATGTAATAAAAGACAAAGTATAATGGAAAATGGAATCTTTAAAAGCACTCAGAGGTTTTCAAATACCCACTTTTAACTGTAGAGCATGTTCTTTATCATCTCTCAGTCAATTGCCTTCAACATAAATCATTTGCAATTCTGTGCTAATGCCTTACGATCTCTTGTTTTTTTGGGTGGGGAGTTATGTTTTACTGTAACTAATGTAATTTTAAGGTCCTCTGAAAAAAATTTTCTTTTGTCTTAGAAGCATGTAACAGTTCTATTTTCATCAAGAAGGGCTTCGCTAGAACATGGGTTCCCTACTGTTTTACTCTGATTTAGGAATAATCCTTTATCTTTTCATGCTGACAGTCATGTCGTGTTGTCTCTCTTGGACATTAATGGAATATGTCGTCAGTGGTTGCCTCTTCTGTAATTTCTCAAGTTTGATACCATATTTTAAGACCTTATCCTGTTCACATATAACATATAGCTAACAATGCATTACTTCAGGTTCTGTTTTCCAAACAGTAATGTTTAGATCATGTCAAACTCGTGCCTATTAATTTGTTTATTAAATAGCTCTGAGACAGCTGCTACACCTGCAAGTGTACCTACAACTCCTCTAAAAAGTAAGTAAAAAATCTTATGCTTATGCTCTGGTTGTGTTATGCTGTATCATGGTGCACAGTGACCCACACGCCACTTTCAGTGAAGGATTTCTCTGAAACAAATTATGTGTGCAGAACTGCAGAGGTGAGAGGACTTGTTAGGAGACTCTTTCAGTGACTGAGCTGTAGCTATTAAATAGCATATGGTAACAGCCAGATCCAGGGAGGAGCTAGAGCAGTCCTGAGTGAACTTGGAGGAAGCCAGTGTCATCACAAATTGGACACCTGGAACTGTATTAGAAATTATTCTCACTGGCTGTACATCGTATGCTTATAAAGCTCCTTACCTGCTTCTTGTGCCAGCTACTCAGCAGAGGTATGTGCAACTGGAGCAACAGCTAAGAGAATGTGTAGCATTCAACTGTGAATAGCATACTTTTGGCCTCTAAAATTTTGAAATACTTTCTAACCGATTAAACACTTTTGTAAGAAATCCATGAGCTTGGGCTGCAAACCTCAGCAGTGTGCAGTGTAGGCCAAGGAAGCACATAATGTGTAAGACAAAGTGTCTGAAATATCATTTTACCTTGGGATCTCTTGGGATCAAGTGCCACTGATTTTTAATTTGAACAGAAAAAAAGCCTTTTTCCCCCCCTTTATAAAGAAGAATTTGACCTGTAGTTCCAGCAAGGACAGTGATGTAGAAAATAATACATGATAAATGTACTGATAAATGATATGATACTGCTCTTCCTAGAGAATTCACCTTCACATTCTCATTTCAGTTTAGAAGGTGTTAAGCTAAGATCGTTGAAATTATTTCAGGAACAGAGTTTCATCACAAACAGAAATCAGCTTCATAATTCGGAAATTGTTAAAATTTCCAGTTTAAGACTCAGTCAACTGAAAAAGCAGAAGGAAAAAAGAAATAGTTCACTCTTAAGTCTAGCAGGCAATTGAACTCAGCTCTAAACAAACAAGATGTATGGGTGGTGCTGGAGGCTGCCAGGTTTTGCGGAAGAGAACATGTGTAAAGAGTGAGCAATGCCAGCCAATCCTCCTTGTTTGTACAGACACAGTAGACTTCTAGAAAAGCCTTTCCAGGGCTTGAGGAGGTTGATTTATTGTATAGAGAGCCACGACCCCACTATTACCTGTCTTTAAGATGTATTTGCTGTAGTCAGTCTGTTTGTCTCCCCTGCAATGCCCAGGATAAAACATAGCACAAGTGGAAGGGCAACAGTAAGACAAGGGAGACATCATAAACCTAACCACTATGCTAATACATTTTTACTGAACCTTACCAGACTAAAAGTTATAGAATATACAAATAGAAACAGAAGACATTTATTTTATAAAAGACATCTTAAGTCAAGGAAAGACCTTTATTGATAAACAGAAACTGTTAGTTTTCTACAACATTATTCTCAATTTAAAATCTCTAGTAAGGCATTTTTAGCATAATATGTCCCCATTAGACAGTGATGAAATTGGACTGTACTTTTCAGTGTACTTGCAACTGAACGTTTGGCCACCTTACTTCTGTGATACTGCAGTGCAACATGATCATGATGCAAGCATGGAATTAACTAATAAAAGATTGCTGCAGTATTTCTCAAAGAAAGGTTCTGGGGTGTGACTGCTAAGTACAATCATGAACTCTCATCTCAAACAGGAGCAATAGCATAGTTTAGTTATTAATCCTAATTTCTTAGCTACCTAAAGAATTATTAACAAAATACACATCCACGGGGAAAATACTACTTTCTGGTTCTGAAAGGGCTAGACCAGAATCCCAAACAGTGTCACTTGCCCTAGAACACTTACTTCAGCTGGGCATCTGATCTAGAAAACTAAAAGCAAAACAGAATGTGTGATTACCTGGTAATAGCATCAGCTTTTAGTTAAGTTGAAGACTGGTACAGGGAATCTAGTGAGGAGATGATAGAATGAGGGAAGAGAGCAAAGTCCGGAGAGGAAACACAAGCCTTTCCACCCCTCCACTCCCACAAGTACATACAGGGACCTGTTTGCCTGAGGCTTAGAAGTTCAAATTCCTCTGGTTAGAAATGGAGGAAAACTGCAATTTAAATAAGGTTTTGTTCTGCTGCATGTATTAACTGCTGTGTGCAATTCTGATACCTTTCCATTCATCTATGGTTCGCTCCTTATTCTCTATTGACTCGTCGTACAGCTCGGCCTCAGGTTCATCATCCGGATCGTGATACTGGACAAAGTATGGATGTGCAAGCGCTTCCGAGGCAGTAATTCTTTTATCACTGTCTAATATAAGCATCTTCTCAAGAAGATCTACAGCTAAGGGAAAAAGTGAAACACGGTTCAAAGCCAGAAGAGATAATTTAGAAATAAAAAAGAAGGCAACTGTCAACACACAGTATATCCTCACTCACCCTAAACACAGTTAACATTATTGGCAAACTCACAAAGTTCAGGCAAGATAACAAATAAGTTTTGAAGATTTTATACTGTGAGTACAATTTTCAGAGCTGAAGGAAGCTTCTGGTTTGCTTGTGGTATGCACAAAAGTTCATAATAGTCCCTTTGAGATCTGATTCACCTCTTCAGGCATCCAAGGACTTAATTCTAAAAAGATCTGTGTGTGCTTATAAGTTAAATACGTGCTTAAGTTTCCAGTGATCAGGATCAAGTTAAGTAACTTGTGAATAATAAAATGTCAATGTGAGATTACTTTTTTAATTAGCGGCACCAATGAAACAATCAGATGAAACCCCCAAAGCAACTTTACAGGACCCAGAATAAACAAAATATGTTTGAAGTTGACCGTTGAAGAATACTAGAAATGAGAGATATCTGTAAGGCTGAAATTATTTTTGTATGGAAATTTTATCCTAACTATTTAAAATATTATAAAAAAAATGTTAGCGCTTTCATAAACATTGGCATTAGTTTTTCCTTATCATATTAATACATAACATGCTGTTATGTACCTCAGGCAAATAAATCTCATTTTCTGTAAGAAAGTGTTCACAGCTACCTATATTTGTAAGAATAAAATTGGCATTAATACACAGATTGAATTAAGAAATTGTCCTGTGCAGGGCTAGGAGTTGGACTTGATGATCCTTGTGGGTTCCTTGCATCTCGGCATGTTCTGTGATTCTGTGAAAACACTTTAACTCACAGTACTTCCCTATAACGTGCACTTGATGGAACTGACCAGGTGCTGTAGGGAAATGACTCTGGTGACTCTTGGCCCTTTGCCATGCCACAAGAAAAGCTTCACAGAAACATCTCATTTGCACAGGCAGAACCAATTGGTTAGACATAAAAGCAATTGTGCAGGATCAGACCAAGGGTCTGCCTAGCCCAGTATCCTGTGTCCAACAATGGCTCATATATTCCTAGGAAATAATACTCAAAAGGATCATTCAAACAGCTATGCTTCCTGGTATGTTCTGCTTGCCAGCCATTTACAGCTCATGGCCTTCCTGAGCCAGAAGTGATGTCTCTAATCTGGATCCCATGACATTTTTATTTATTCCTGCTATTAGCTGGCTTTTGCTTTTCATCCATGGACCGTTTCCACAGGAGATTCCCATAACCTCCACCAGAAACAAAAGACACAGGCTTCATGAAGGGAAAACAGTCTCAGGATGAAAGGTTAAGCAATGCTCTTCTCACTGGTTTGATCACTACTATATGGGATCATATAGCAAAGGAAGGCTTTGTTCCTGTGTTAGTGAAAAATTTTATCTGTATTAGTCTGAATTTCTTACCTAATGGATTGGCACCACGAAATACTGCTTTCAAATCCTGTTGAGGCATATGTGGAAGAGATTCGATATATTTTCTTGCCTAGGAAAAAATCAATATACATACCACATGCAGAGAGGTTAAGTTTTGCTCAATAGTAACTACATTAAATCTAAAAAACTCAACATTATGTTTCTTATACATGGAAAACCTTTACATAAAACCATAATGTATGACTTTGTTTTAAGCAATCACTCCTGTATACTGCACAATAAGCAAGAGAGTTTTAAGCAGGTGTATTTTGGCTTAAGGGTTGTGTGTTAGCACTTTTGTTATCACCTGCGCTTACTGGTTTATTGCAAAATATCCTCTAGGAACATATGCATGTAATGTTCAATCAGAAATTGCAACTTAAATCATCTTCCAGTTACCTTCAGTAAAATGGTATCATTCAAACTGCAGCCTTTCCTCCTCTCCTTTTTTTCAACAGTAGCTTCACTAACCAAAGTCTATTCCCCTGGAATAGATTTTCAGATGTTTAACAGTTTGTCTTGTCACTGTGGCTGTGAAAGGTTCATCCAAACTCAGCCAGGAAAAGCCCACCTGCACGCCAGATCCGCATTCTGTACTGTACTATACTACAGTACAATACTGTATTATCACAGCTCACATAGGGTCAGCGTGGAGCCTGACATTAAGTAAGCTGCAAATTTCTAGGCTGAGGCAGACAGTGCAGCAAGAGAAAAGGTTGAATGCTGGTCCTAATGTTGGGATCAGACAGAACAGGGAATTCTGAAATTGAACAGTTAAAAAAAAAGCAAATGGCTATTTCCAAATCCATAAAAAAACCCAGCTGGTATTTGAACAAGCCTTAATCCTTTTAAAACATACTTGTGTTACACAGATGTCTCTCTCACTTAGCAAGCCTGTTAGAAGGACACTATCTGCAGAAGGCTAACTAAGCATCCTTGGCCTACTCAAGACAGCAATGGAAATAAAGTGGTTCATACTAAGCAGCTCCATGGCTTCAAGTGAGATAACAGAATTGTGGAGTTACCTTCTGGACTATTAAGAAGTGACTATAAAATACTGTGACATATCACCTGTACAATCCTACAACCACACTTGGGAAACAGATCCTGTTCCCTACACTGTTGTCTCTCAGCCATCATCTTTATTTCTGCAGCTATGACGAACTGATGTAAAGATATTTTAAATCATTACATAATAAAGCCTCTTTTCAAACTGTGTTCTTGTTTAAGAATGCAGATATATTTACTTTTTCTGCTTCTTGTAAGATGTAAGCATATTCTAACAAAACTCTAGACTGCCATTAGAGACATATTTCAGAGTCTTACTAAAGGAAGAAAGCGTTTATGCATTACATCCCCGACTCTTTAAAATGATACTAGTATTTTCCCTTTTTATTATGGGGGTTGACAGCAGCCAGGCTTTGTTAAAGGATGATTTCTTCTAAGCAGCTGTAGCCTGTCAGGCAGAGAAGGATGTTTAAACACTTAAAAGTCAAACAGAGGCTTTGCTGCACTCATTTTATGCCTCTAAGGTTCATAAAGGCAGCTAACACCTCCTAGAAGGCCAAGGTGTGCTGCTCTTATTAGAGCTAAGTGTTCCAGGACATTAGTTTACATATATATATATATACACATATATACATATATATATATATATATATATATATATGAACAGCAGGGCAAAAGAGAGCTATCACACATTCTCACATGAAAGCTATAAATTAGGGCAGAAACAAGGTAGATTTATCTTATGACAAATATCTGTGGATTTGTGGATTATTTGTTTCTCTATGGACATCAATCAATATCACTAATCCAAACATGACTGAACAAGATACAGTGAAAATTACCTCCAACCTTGCCCAGAAGTCCTTTGAAAACAACATAGACCTATCAAAGTATACTTACCAACCTGTCCCCTCTGCTTATATATTCACCACAGAAACCCAACCAACAGAATCCAGATGTTTAAATTACTCTGAAATACAAAATACCTCAGTAACTTGTGCTGAAACATCCCATGTGGCTGATTGTTCAGTTTCCAATTCTTTAATCCTCCACTTATAACTGAAAATAGGCTCGACATTTCAGCAAATCTCTGACCTTGCTGTTAGAGGAATGTTACGAATTGTTCATGGCTGCAAGCTGCATTAAGAAATATCTAAACAATAAGGCAAAACTACATGGTAAAGAAGAGCTACAATGAAGGAACCTCCTTGCAATTGGCAATTACCTCCAAGCAAGGTATGCAGCTCCTTTGACATTGCTCCTCTAACCAGGCAGCAGCAGCCCAGAGGTGACCTAGCAGCAGTCCCATTCATTAACCTGGTTTTTGTATTCTCCCTGTGCTTTAAAGTTATAATTAGTCCCAGCAAATAGTTTCAGGACTCCTGTAGCTCACTGAGGTATGCTCTGAAACACAACAAATTAAAAGACAAAAGCAGATACTATTTCCAGTAAGTAATTAAAGTGCTTAATCCCATGATCAAAAGTTCAGAATCTTACTAGTTGTGGGTAAATCACACATTTGTATACACTACTCTGAAAAACTGTAGTATCTTAATAACAATACACAAAGGCTACATAAGGACCTACAAGACTATAAAAGGACCTATGCTTAGGACAGCACAGTATGAGATTTGCTGTTTGATGCAGTCCCTGGCAAAAGGATGGATGCTTAGTTAGCCTCCTGCCCAGCCATTCCCAGGTGCTGGGTACCCAAAACCTCTGGGACTGTGCTTTGGCTGATGAAGTTTCATTATGCATGGACCTTCCAGAAATATAGCATTGTTCTGGCTCTCCTACTGCTCCTGCTTACTTAACCCACTAATGTACTCATTACTAAGGTCAAAGGAAACCCATCAATATACACACAAGGTGAAAAATAGCTATTAGTATTAGTCTGAAGCGTATACAGAAGAGGTGTAAGATAACAGCTGCAGCTAGGGAGGTATCTGCGTGCTCCTGTTTATCTGAACTTTTACACTGTGCTCATCACCTGCCTTTATCAATCAATACCACGTGTCACTCCTCAGCAGGATATCCATGGTTATTGCTTACAGGGAATCCTTCAAGTACAGCTTTAGCAAAGAAACAAAGTAGAAATCGTTCATTTACTAGATTACTATTCTAAAGAAGTCAAATGCAGATTTAAAAAGCATACTCTTAACTACGGATATTATCAGGGAAGTAGACCTCATGCAAGGATTCAGAGACGAATAAATATGATTTTCAAATCAGGGATCTAACTCATGCAGAACACACATTATTGGATTCTGATATCTCTGTTTAGAATCCTTACAACAATGGAAACTGAAAATTACAGACATCAGCTTTAATAACAACAATATAATGCTCTGAGATGAGCATAAGTTTGAATTTTTTTTATTATAAGAATAGCAACAAATTAAATGATCATCAGGACTATTTGCTTAACTCCTTTCAAAAACTGAGTACATGAGAACAAGTATTAAAATTAATCCAGCTGAGAGTCAAGGGATCTGGATACCTCCAAAAAGAACTTTTTTTTTTTAATGGTGGCATTCTAGCAGCAAAAAACAGACAATTTTAAGGTGTTTGCTCATTTCCAAATCAGAGTATCTGTGTAACACAGTCAGTGACATATGATGCCAATTAGGGAAAGAATGTCAGTTAACCAAATGAAGCTGTGAACTCACATGTTCTGATGATATCTTCTTCAGAAGTTCAGAACTGGGTGTGCCCACAACTTCCATTATTCTCTTTAGTTGATCGATATCTTCATTATTTCAGGGAAATAAACAACATATGGTCCCTCCGGGTTTAGACAATTAATGAGCTTCCATGTACATAACTAAGATGTCTAAAAGTATTCAGCAAGAAAATTCTACCACAGGCCATGGAAAGATACAAATTCATACCTGCTTAAGCCTAGTCCTGGAGTATCAAATTCTCTACTGTACCAGATTAATCTGTCAGGTACGTCAGCTGCATGAAAAATATTGCTTTTCTGTCCTAGTTCTCAATTTAATATTCTTAAGCTTAACCTTAATAGCACATTTGTGTTTCAGCAATCTGAGGGATTTCTGAAGATCAGTCTAGTATGATACAGCACGCAGGGCTAGATGACTAATCTTAAGACTGGCGAGTAAAAAGTTCTTATTTTGTAGCTTTAAAAATCTGTTTTATATTGTTATCAAGATTAAAACTTTGAAAATGTTCATTTCTCATTGTCATAGATGACCTGTAAAATATATTTTTATAGAGACTCAAGGTTATTTTACAGCTTTATTTAAATTGATGTAATCACAAAACTACAGACAATATTTTATAACAGCAAAAAAAGAAAAATCTGAGTTCTTGAAAACTAGATGTATTGATTTTTCCAAACACCATGTATCATGTAATCAAACAGTCTGGGGGACAGTCATCTCCATATGATGAACACCTGGAGAATGCCTGTGGTTACAATAGAGTCTAATGATGCTGAACACAATAGAAAGGTCAGCGGAGAGACTTGGTCTCAAGCTCTCTTAACAGTATTCCAGGCAATTCTAACGTCATGATGTTTTGCACCTGGCAATAGCTTAGTTTTAGCAGAAGTATTTGCTTTTTGAGGGGTTTTGGAGTTGCAAGAAATGCCAATATTTAGTACAGAAGAATGTGCCTTTGTTTCTCATATTAAAAGCTTTTCTCCTCTGATGCAGTTGTTTCCTCATTCCTTACTATGTGTTTTTCTTCAGCTTTCTTTTATTATTTTACTGCTCTCCTCAGCAACATCTCTTTTTTTTTTTCTCCTGCCAGCACAGGAAACGCCAGTGGAAATCCCTGATGCTCCATCAGGGACCACAGCACAGTGCTGCGGAAAAGAGAGGGTTTTGTTGCTCCTGTGACATTTCTGGAACTTTCTGGCTTTTTTTAATAATAGGACACAGTAGGCCAATTAATTTACTTATTATTTAAAAGTTAACTCATTTGCATTTTAGGAACTTCCAGCCTAAAAGCAGTTCTATTTTTAAAAATCGTATTAGCTGATGAAAAAATAGTGCCTTTACTCAGCTTCAGTTCTAGCATGTGTTATTTCAATAAGATCTACACATGGAAGATGTCTACTCTGTTGTAACTAGTTTATTATTTAAATACAGATACACAACAAAGAATAAATGTAACTTATTGTTGGAATATCTGTTACTGGTTTTTATCCTAGTAGTGAGTCTCATATTCAGTTGTCATATACACACTGAACTGAAAGATTAGCAAATTGTTAACTCTTTTACCAGTTTGTGACCTCAAAAACATTTCCATAGAAGCACTCAATTCCTTAGGAAAAAAAGGAAGAATTAGAGAGTATTTTTGTAGCTGCATTTTAAGTTTTATACTAAGGATACAATCATTTCCTGGAAATAGAGCCTTCCCTTTCAATAGCTCTGCCATGATACATCCGACCGACCATATGTCAACTGCCAAAAACAGAGAGAGAAATGTGTACAATGAATCAAAGTGACCCTTAAATACAGTTTCCTCTTGGTTTAAAACTATCACTCCATCCAGCTGTAGCAAAATGCAAGCCTTCACAATTTACCTGTTTGATTGTAGTGCATCCAATTTAACATAATTTCTGGAGCTCTGTACCATCTTGTTGCAACATATCCAGTCATTTCATCATCAGTTTGTCGAGCTAAACCAAAGTCTAAAATCTACAGAATAAAAATAAAATAATAATTTTTAAAAATCCCCTTTCACTTTTGTTACAGGCCCTGATTTTCCCCATTTCTCATTTCTGAGTTTACCATAGTCCCTCACTATCGGTGAAGTAAAACAGGACCACTCTGCAGATGAGCTCATCTGCTCTCCCTGCTGTATCCCTGTAGCCTAGGGGTCTGCATAAAGATGCTTCCACTACAATGAGCCTGGCCCTTTGTTCTCTAAGGTAAACTTTACATTTTCCATTGACATTCATTTGCTAAAAATAAGCACTGTTGCTATTAAAAATGAAACGCTATTATCAACTGGGAATATTTGTGTAAAATGCCAACAGCAAGTGCCAGTAGCCATTTCAAGATCACACAAGCTGATCACAAATCTGCAGAATTTCTGTTGTTTCCCTCTTATGTCTAAGCATTTACCCAAATCACACATCAACCCAATGCCACTAGGAAAGAAACATATATTCTGCATAAAAAGGTAGATTTAAATCATATATCATCTGTTTTTGGTAGAATTTGCACACCAAAGTAACAAAGGAGCTCTGTTTAGGTACAGATAGGCTTGATTGCAAAATGTTCCCCTCCATATGCTTTTCCTTGCTTAGTTTACATTGATGGGAAGTTATTTCAATTGATTTTTTTCTGTTCATTTTTGCTTTTTATTCTATTCTCTGATTAGTCTATGCCCCACTAATTATGGACCCTAGCTCTAAGAGAGTCTGCTGTGAAAGTGTACCATCTGAGCCTCAGTGCTGTTAAGTCAGTCATCTGAGCTAGCTAGCATCTCTTCACATAAAAATGTGAATAAGACCATTGAATATCTCCTGTGCTGAGATCCAGGATTATTTATTAAGCTGATGGCTAATCTTTTTCATTGGCAATAAGAAAATTTCAAGAGGTTCATTCAAAATTCCTGTTATAATCCAATTAAAAGATATGAAAAGCCTAAATAAAAATATTAAGATATAAATAAGACATTACCATCCTTATCTATAATATACTTTAAAAGCATAATGTATTTCTTAAATAGGGAAAGAAAAAAATATGAGGCAAACGAGGCACAAACAATGGCGTGAAGCTTAAACACTAATGCTCTTATATTTATAAGGGTTTTTGCAATACTTTTCCCTAACAGCTGATCCCTTCTATCAAGTATTGTAAAAACACATTTTCCTTCTTTCTGTTTCTAGTTCGTTTTTGTTCGTACTTGGAAATATCTACTAGTTTGTTCTATTAAAAATAATTTGAGGAAGTAAAGCTATATATATAAACAAAGCAGAGAGTGGTGTAACAAATGCTAGGCAGGGAGGTGCACAGATAGCACAATAATAGAAGAAAAAGCAGTAAAAATCTCCTTTACTTACAGTACAAAAATACAGCACACATTTTAGAGTGCACGATCAGAAACAGATGACCCATAAAATTTCACAGATGCTGAACATATATGCATGAAGACATTAAAGAGATAATAATGAAACTTGCTGAGCATCTGCAAGTGTCACTGAACCAAACAGGAACTACAGTTTCTCACCACAAATCCGGATCTGCAAGAACCTAACTGCACTACTCTTATTTGCTATTGTGATTTTTTGCTGATCTTGTAGTATTTGGAGTCTTTTCTTAAATCCCTCACAGCTGGAATAAAGTGATTACATCAGAGTATTAGAAACAGGGAGAAAGACATTTCTGGCTGTCATGGTGAAATGCTAAATTTCTCATTCTTAGGTTTAAAGGCTTAGAAAGCTACAAGACATCTTTTCCTTTTCCTGAGTCTCATGCTTATTATGCAATATTGTATCACATGGACACAATAAGAGATGTATTTATTTAGATGTGTATATGAAAAATAGCATCTGAGAAGCATGGATTACAGGGGTTTTTTTGGTTGGTTAGGGGTTTTTTTGGTTAGTTTTTTACTGCCTATAACTGGTAATACTGATATATTTTTTGCCATCATTATTTAATTTGGCTTATATGTTCTACAGATATAAAAATGAAAGTTTTTGTAAGGTTTCATCTAAACATGGCAGATGCAGATACATATCACAGGTCAGGCTTCCAAGATATACTCAGTTAAGTACTCACTCATGGGCCAAATTACTAGCTATTATTAGCTAATTATTACCCCCACCATCTGTGGGGTATATAGGGATGAACATTTTGCAAAGATTCTTACATTCATATTAAATTAGCATTTGGGAGAAAACACATGTTCATGGAAATGGTTTTTCTATGCCAGCGGAGGAACAGTAGCAAACAGTTGAAATTAATGGATTCAGAAATAAAAATGGTAGCTAATGTTTTCTCAGAAAACTGTCATCTTGAGAGCTTTTTTTACAACATTCTTCATTACAACAGCATGATACTTACCCTCAATTCACAGTCTTCATTTACGGCTAGGTTGCTGGGCTTCAGGTCCTGTGGCAGAACACAGTTAGTCAAGTACTATTTTAACCTTTTTAAGTATATTGTAACTATTTCTTAGTAACACACTTGATGCACAGAGGGACACGTTCCATTCATTTTTATTACACCAATGAGTGAACTCACCCGGTGGATGATTCCAGCTGAGTGAATATACTGTGAGACAAAAAAGAAAAAAAAAGGTAAGATTTGAATTTAGAGGTGAAGGGAGGTAGAAGTCACTTGTCTTATTCTTTTGTTTCTGAGACTGACTGTTTTATATACAGAAAATACTTACGTCACACCACATTTTCAGATCAGAGGTATGTCAAACTTCAAAACCTCCCTGTTTTGTCTTATCCAGAACTGGATATTTCAAGAAAGGTAACCATGAGTTACTAGATTCCACCACAAAAAAAGCACTTGCAGTGATTCTTCTGTTGAAAATTTCTTCCCAATCTGGAATTTGTTCCAGTCTTAGCTGGAACATGTTGATCAGCTAGTGTCTCAGTGAAGTCACAGTATGGGAAGGTGACTTAACATCATGTAAGAGACCAAAATACCTACCTAGGCCATAGCATTACTTCAGGTCCACTTTCAAAGCAGAGACTCAAAGCAGTATTTCCATGGCTATTTAGTGTTTCTGCTATTTTACATAAAACATTTAAAATCGAAGATTGAGAAAAGCTTATTCTGTCATCGCCTATCATTCCCTTGTCAGGATTAACAGCAAATTTATCTATCATATTACTTATCAACATCAGCAAGACCTTGAAAATGTTCTGTTTCATTCTCTAGAGGTGAATTCACCTTTTTTAGGAGCAGTGATTATATGCAAAATCTGTATAGCAACTGGGAAAACCCAAAGAAAACACAAGGGCATTCTCCGTGTTCCAGACCTAAGCACTGTTTATCAGAAGACAAGGCCACCTCTCAGTGCTCCTCACAAGAGCTGCGGGCGGCTCAATGAAGATGAAACCAAACTACTGCTTGTGACAGAAGGGGCCGTGCCCCTGCTCTGCTGAGACGACCACAAGAGCTCCTCTCGGTGCCACCAAGCAGTGCTCTACCAGCCAGCTCAGAAGCCTGGAAAACTGCAGCTCCACACTGACACTGATTGCTCATTCGGCTTCCGCAGGATGCAAAGCCTGTGCTCCACACTGCTGAACACACCTACCACCACCAGCAAGCCCAAAGCATACTCAGGTGTGTGAATACAAGTTGCAGTGACTCCAGCATAGATGTGAGGAGATATACATGATATACATGATCAAATGTTCTCCAACTGGAATTTCAATTCCAGAAGAGACAAGCCACTTCCCTTCGAAACAGAGCCAGAAATGCACCTGAGTGCATTTCTGAAATTAATATTTACTTAGAGTACAATTCTTACTATGATTTAGCTCTGACACAAAAGATAGACTTATAAACAAAACCTCAAGCTGGATAATTAATGCCAGAATCCATCTTCATAATTAAGCTATTAACTCATGTAAATGAGACAAAATAATTAAGGTCTCAGTTTTGCAATTTTTATTCACTAAAATCTGCACTTAAATTGACAAAACTTGCATGCATGAATAAGAACTACTGTCTCAGGCACAAGGTGACTTGATGAAAATCAGGTAATAAGTATATTTCAGAACCAGTATTTACCATGGCTTGCTTTCAAACATACAGTTATTTTCCGTGTCTAAAATATCAATTACTGTTCAGATAGCTACTAAAGCGGCTGACTCCTCTCTTTTCTGTTTGCTTATACCCGGGAAAATCTATACTGGTCTGAGAAAAAACTTAGCATCCAGTAAAGGGAAACATTACCTACTTCTTCACCTGTTTATAGACACTTAGATGTTTAACATCAGCAAAATTATACATATTTTGATTCTTTTGGAAGCAAATCATGATGCATTTTCATTGCCAGTCACCTGTGTTATCTAACTGTATAAATTTAAACTGGTACAATTAAAGGAAAACAATGACTTTACGGGCAGAGTAAATCCCAAGCGATTTTGTGCAACACTGTACATGGCTGGGATAAATTTCTACTTCCAGACATTTCCCAAAGGACCCAACTGACCTGGTTAGCTCTTCATCTATGTGGCACTCTCTACAAAAATCAGGACTGTGGTTTTTCAAACTGGCTTATGTCTTTCAAAGGAAAAATATGAGTTACTTGCCATATTGTTCTTCATCCATTTCACATTTTTCAGAATTTTTGAGACACTATATAGCAAGTGATTGTCCTGCAATAGTAACTTAAATAGAACTAATCTAAACATTCAAGAGTATTCACATGTATTATGCATATAAACATTGGCAGGCTTGGGGGTCTATTTCTGGTTAGAAAAATTATCTGATAGTTTCTCAAATGATTGCTGCTACCTGTGCAGTCCTAAGACATGAAAAAAAAGTCTTTATGTACTGTCATTGCAATGAAACAGTCATTACTACAACATTTAGATTGTGGACTCTAAAACTCTTGCACTCAGCCGGTACCTTAAGACCTCGAAGTAACTGATAGATGAGAAACTGTATATGATCATCTGTTAACTTCTGGCACTTCACAATGTTATTCAGGTCAGCACCCATTAAATTTGTCACAAGATACCTGTGAAAATAAATCAGGGAGAAGAAAACAAAGAAACACACCTCATTTAAGAATGGCAGAATGTAAATCCTTCTAGAAGAAACACATATAAAGAGTATCTACATATGCTCATGTAGGTTCTTTTTCTGTCTAATAACACAGTTTATATCCTTTAAATCAACTATGAGCTTTAATAATGCAATCACTGCTATGAGATTTGGTATAATGAAAAAGAAAAATCCTTACAGTATATTAAAAGCTTTTATCTCTGTTTTCTCCATGACACAATACACCAGTGATGCAATGTATTTTTTGATGAAGAAGAAGCCTCATTTAAGACCAAAATGGGAGCATTACTAGACCTGCAAAGCCTTGGAATATCTGATGATGGAGGATGGAAATTAACATTAGATTGGTTGAAGTAAAAGTGTTTGGTGTAACTTCCCTCCCTGTTCCCACTGGAAGTTTTATTTTTTGACAAATTTTGCAGAAATGTTGATTTTTTCAAAAAACAGCACTGGGACAAAAGTATGCATCTGTCATATCCAGTTCCTATTAATGTAATTTTCCCCAGAGTCAAAGGGGTTTGGCCACTAATTTCCATGGAGACAAAACCAGATTAATTACTATTTCTTCTGCTAAATTGTTAACCTAAGAGCTTTTACATTACGTAAACCAAGAGGAACTCAGCATAAATTGTGTCTTTGAGTAGGACTAAAATATATCTAATCCTAGGTTAGTCAGGACTCTAGCCTGAATTTACCTTGTCTCAGTTAAGCAACAGAATACTTTCCTGCATTCCTGAACTATCCTGTCTATCTGTGAAAAGATAATCTACAGCTAACACACAACTGAACTGAAAAAGTTTTAAGCTTTCTGGAACTTATGCAGCATTAAACCACTCACCATATACTTATAATCTTATTAATTATCATTTAAAATGTACAAAAATGAGGTCCATCTTCCTGCAACCTCTTTTGTGGAAAAGTTGCAAAAAGGTTTTTACAAAGTCAACTCTGCTGCAAGTCTATTAGAATAGAAATGTATGTACTTCCTTTTTAAAACCAGAGTGGTATGTACTTACTTCGTAACTAGTCAGAATGATTTTAAAGTTTTACTTACACTTCGTTAAAATTTTCTATTGATGTTGCAGGTGTAAAAACATCTAGCAATCCTATAACCTGAAAGATGAAGGAAGTGACATTTTATTTTTAGAAATCTGCAAAGCAGTATATAATTAGTATTGACAGCACTCAGCATTTTTGAGATGAAACTTACAAAAATATGACATATGTTCTTCCTGAAAACTGGCACAATATTATAGGTCTATAGGTCTATACAGGTATCACCTCAGCTATATCCATGATCAACAGAAAATTATATTAATTACAAAAAATAATTACTACAAGATTTTAGACAAACAAAAATTAAGGCAGGAAAAGTAATGTCTCCATACAGAAAAGCTGACACATGTCTTATACAATTGTTATACTTAAGATTATGCACAATTTCATGGGTTTTCTTGTTCTGTTCTTGTTTAACTTTTATAGCATCCTTTCTCCAAGATACTTTTCAATCCACCATATTTTATTCAGGCTTCAGGTCATCAAATTACCTTTAAGCAGGTGGATACCACACTGAAATCAACTGTTTACCACATAAACTTAGAACAGTACTCAGTTACGTGGGGCCTAAAGAGTGTCTGACAGAATCCAAAACCAGAAAAAGCAGGGTTTTTTCCCCCTGAACTTATGGTTCAAGATGTTTCAACAGTATACTTTTCAAGAGAATACTTTTATTACTTTAGTTGGGGAAAAGTAGGACCACTTGTTTTCGATTTCATTAACCTCATCTTCAAGATTTAATTAGATATTTTTAAAATAAAAATGCAGCCTGTTACTGAAAGCCTCTAAAGTCCAGATGGTTGGGTCCAGGTATCTTGGGTAGCTAGACAGTTGCATATACTTTTCAAAAAAGATTGAACCTAACTGAAATTAAGCCTATTTTGCAAACTTTAAGGGAAAGAACTCACTGTCCACTTACATTCTCATGCTTCATGTGCTTAAGCAACCGAAGCTCTCGGTAGGTCCTCCGTGCATGGATAAGTGACTGAAAAGGCCTTGAAAGCTTTTTCACTGCCACCTTCTGTCTTGTTTTGGTATCATAAGCTGAACTGGAAGAGGAAAAGAAAAAGTCCATGTTGATGGCATGTTCTACTTCAAAGCTCTCAGGTAATACAATGAAGAAACCTGTACTCTCCTGGGGGCTCTTTCACCTTCTACTCAGGGACTACACCCAAGGAGCCAGTCAGCAGTAACTCTGAGTATTCAAACACAGTTTCCTTGTTTTCCATCTAGGAAATTACTAATGCTTACAGTACTGTTCAGAACTTATCCCTGCATAACCCTTCCCAATATGGCAGAAAAAATAACCAGAAAATTAGCTCCACTAGTGCAGCTCCAGCCTCCAGCTCCAATGCAAGGCTCATAGGGAATACGGAGATTCGAACTCTGAAGTTTGTTTTTACTGAACAAACTGAAATCTTCATTAATTAGAGGAACACTGCCATTGTGTCTAGGAATATTAATTACCTACACGACCATTAGCTTGCTAGACGATAATGCCCTAAAACTGGTATTAAATTAGGATGTTGACATAGCCAAGGCCATACCATTTCCTTGGGAAAGGCTGGCAACAAGTGAAAAATGGGCACGTCTTACACTTCAGCCTACAGATCCTGCTGACACACAGCATATGTGTCTAATGTCACATAGATGGAGGTGCCCTGCTGAAAAGGACACTAAATATACAAGTCACAATTTGCAAACAAGGGAGACCCACTGGTTTTTGTGCATTAGAGAGACACGACAAGCACAACAAGCCACAAATAAATGATGTCTGATCTGTAGCACAGAAATAAAAATGATCTCTGCATGTATTATTTCATGACACTACACAGTACAATTATAAAAAGGTTCAATTTTTTACCTCCTCTTAGGAAGAAAAAAAAAATTCTTTCAGCTGTTACTCTTATCTATTAAGTTAAAATTGTGTTTAATTAAAATACATTGAAATTCTCTGTCTGAAGTGTGGATAACACTATCTATGCTTACTAGAGAGCAGTAACAAGCCAAGAACCTTTACACACATTAATCTTATAGAACTTTTTTGGAGTTATAAACACAAAAATTAGACAACATGAAAAATGCAGGGAGTAGCACGACAACAGTCAGCAGTCACACCAAATGCTATTAGCTCCTTCTGCACAGTGTTTTAGACATTCCTGCAAATTGTTGTAGGAGATATCTGCTAGAGACAAAAAACATTGATTGTGCCTGGAGTAGCTCCCAATCTAATACACTGAGCCTATAATCAGCTCCAAGCAGGTGAACTCCTACACATATTTGGTGCTATGGTCAAGTCCTGAAGAGTCAAGTGAAGAGCAAAGCCTCATTATCTACAGGGCAAGGTGGTATTTCTAATGAGAAGCAACAAAGGATACAAGCAACAAACAGTCAGGAAGATCAATGTGGCATCCAAAAGGTGATTATGATACAGTTACCCTAGAATTCACCCAACCAGGTGAAGGTCAATCCAGAATTTCATAAAAACCACAGTAAAAGTAAGTAGATTTAATTAACAAGTTTCTTGCATGCACCATGGAAGGAGAGAGTCACTCATGAGATAAATGAAACAGATAAGTAGATTACATAGCTAGTTCCTTGCAAGCATCACAGAAGCTGATCTTCAGGGAAGTTTTAAAGGTGTAAAGTGTTGTGGTTTTGCTGAGCACCTCAGGAAGGGCATTCCCTGAGCAGCAGAAAGAATGCATAGGAAGAAGATGACTGATATCACTCTGACAAGTGGGTGGAAGGGATATAATAGAGATACTTGTTCCGACAGTAGGACAGGGACAGAGTTATTCAGGATATGAGGATGTTGTGTTGCTCAAATACATGGAGCAGCTCAAGGAAAGAACAGTGTGAGAAGAACTGACAACAGAGATATCTTAAAATTCCACATGACCAGCCACAGGAACAATATGAAGGTTGCACAAATAAATCTAAAGAAATAAAAAGGAAGCCAATGCTTGGCTGTTAAGGCAACAAAGATTAGATGTAATTGCCTTGTGTTTAATCATGGGCAGTGAAGCCACTGGAGAACACTGCCAAGTCACACAGATGCATACTCTCTATATCCTTTCCAACTTCTTTTGAAAAGGAAATGTTTATCCAGATAAATAAATAACACTGCCCAAAACAGCAGTCTGCTTAACATTTCAGCTCTTCTGGCAACTCACAAGCTTTCCCACTCGTGCTTATACTGGTTTGTGAAATACTGTATACATTATACAAGGCTAGGAGGAATTAGATTTTAAATCCCATTATAATGATAAACATCACTCTCCCTCCAATTCTAAGTCCAAATGTGCGTTTCAGTGATTTAAAAACCACTGATCTTTAAGATGGATTACTTTTTATCCTCCATATGACTCAAGGCTACGAAGCTTTCAGATGGTACAAAGCACTATCTTCTTAGCTTCAATAATTCTTATGACAGCAGCTTTTTAGACCTAGGATGGAACCATGTAAGGAGAAGAGGAAAAAAAAAGGCAACTTGAGTCCTGAGACCTCCAATGGGAAATTATGAAATATCATGTATTGAAGCTGCACAGGCCAGTGACTGACTTGGTTTAAATGAGTTCCTCCACACTCAACTAAGTGCACCAAGTGATAATCAGAGCCAATGCCTCAGGCTCCTTCCTTGCCTGATTTCCCATCATTGTAATTCAAGTTATTAACAGTAAAGCATTCAAAAGTATGTTTGAACTGTCTTGTTTGTCAGATTCAAGGATGACTTGCATCTGTGACCTCTGCTACTGCCTCTGTGATCACATTTTAATACTAGGTCTCTCTGTCTCGATATTACATCATCATAGCTGCAATGCGGTTTGTCCCTCAAATCCCTCGTTGGCCCCTGAGTAAACTGTCAGATGGCAGGATGAGCAGCTTCCCTTTCTGTGTGATATCCCCAAAAATGCTCAGCTTTCAGACTAGTCCCTGGACAGGACATCTCTGGGCCTATCAGAGCAAAAATATGGGCCCACCTGACCTTGGCACTTGCAAACCCTTCCTTGGGGGCCTGTAAACAGCGTAAAATGACTGAAAACAACTTCTTAAAAAAACCCCCAAACCTATGTTGTTAACTACTTTGATTTAACAGGGGAAAAAAGTGTTAGAGGTCCTCTGTCACAGTTTAACTGCAGCTGGCAACTAATTACACAGCTGCCCTACCTGCTCACTCCCCTCCACCCCCACCTCAGAAAGAAAAAGTAAACCTCATGCATTGAGATAAGAACAATTTAATAATTGAAACAAAATATAATAATAATAATCTCAAATATGTTAACAATATTAATAATTCTAATAACCACATGATATTCTATGGTATGAAACATCCCTTTGGCCAGGTCAGGTCACCTGTCTCAGCTGTGCTCCCTCACAGCTTCCAGCGCAGATCCTAATTAGCAGAACATGGGACGCTGAAAAGTCGTTAACTTAGGGTCAGCACTACATAGCAAAACCCAATACATCAGACTGTTATCAACATTATTCTCATACTGAATCCCAAACACAGCACTGTACCATCTACTAAGAAGAAAATGAACTCTGCCCCAGCAGTAAGCAGGACATCCTCACCTTCCCTTACCCTGCATGATGTCTGACTCACAGCTTCCCACTTCTTCCCTGAGACTGGAGAGGGCTTCTCTGCCAGTCTCTTGGTGTTTGCATTGCCTCACAAACAACTCCCAGCAACTTACAGTGACTTTTTCTTTTGCAAGGTTATTTTCTACATACTTCAGCTGTGGCTAAATACCTGTGTTTATATCTGGTTTATACTCACACATGGAAACAAATCATCCTTCCAATGGTTCAGCTACTGTTTCCTGGGTTTCTCTGAAACTACTACTTCTGAAGTGTTTTATCTCTGATTATGATGTTACTTCATGTAGCTGGACAGAATAGTGCGACGGAGATAAACTTTGATATTTGCAAAGGGATATTGTCTCCCATCTCTAATCTATTCCTTACTGTTGGCATTTCATTTGTTGTACGCAGTGAAAATAAGTGACTTTTTAATTACATTTTATCAGTATTTCTGTCACCATCACTGCATGGTATGCTCACATGCCTCAACAGAATATGGGAACACCACTTCAGACAGACTTTCTATCATAATTTAAAAAGAAACGCAAATATTAATATAGTTTTAATTTACAAGAAACAACTTTGTAACAATCTTAGCAATAGCTTTTTCAGATATAATCATTCTTGACCAAGAACCCATCAGAGTTATGACACATTTTTTGCTGTCTCTCTTTCCAAGATCAAGGATAAAAAGACATTATTCTGCTTACATGGATGGCATCATTTTCACACAGATTAGAGACTTTTGTTTAGTGTTATTTTCAATCATTGCTTAAATTAGACCCACCTTTTCAGTGTTGTCAACTCCTATATTTAGGAATTCTATTGAAGTTCCACTAGATGAAATACGAATCTCTATTTATATGCACCTTTACCCAGTTCTTAAGGTATTAGAGAAAAATATGAACATGGGAAGCTACTGCAGTCTAAAAACTTAAGAGGTGGAAAACACAAGATTTTAACAGCTTCAAGCTAACTTCATGACTTTTGATGGGACACAGGTGGCTGTACTTACAGTAATTTCCCTAGTATCCATGGACAGTTTATTCCCTGTGTTTGCAGAGCAGTAATAGTGGACAGACAGTCCATTCATGTGTGCAGCCCACTTTGATCTCTCAGTGATTTTGGGACTAGAAGCACACCATTCACCTATGGCTACTTAGCCTTTGGGATCGAATTTGCTTCAATAGCTGGAGGCTGTTTGTGGGAACCTGATCTAACAAACCACACGTAGAGCCACCTCTTATCCTATTTAGTAAACTCTAGTATACAATGCAGGAAGAATTCTTCCTGGGATCAGCTGGTCCCACTGAACTACAGCCAGTCCCTGAAACTTTGGGGTTGGCAAGGGCTTATCAGCTGGGCACATTACTACCCACAATGCCTGGAAAAAGTCCAGCTTGAATGCAGTGTTCAGTCTAGTGAGTTCTCTTCATTCCTGGAGCCAGCTCAGGTCCAGCTGACGCAGAATGAAGGCATGACCCAAAGCTGGCTGTATTAGGTGCCAGACTTGTGCCTGCAGCAACCTCCCCACCTGCTGTAGGTTACCTGAATCAGACA